GTTAAGTGTAACCTTAACAGTTGAGAGGTATAGTATTTGGAGTAGCGCCAGTTAAATAGATTTTTAAATTTGATTTTTCGAAAATTTAACTCTGATTTTTGGAAAAATAATTCGGTGTTTTCCTATTAAAATAACGGGGTGTTACACATATCTTTGGCACCTTAGACTTGGGAAACATCAGTCTTAGGAGGATTCAAAAGTTGGTACTTAGTGGACAACTTCCATTAGAAGATCATTATGCAACTTGCGAATCATTCCTGGAAGGTAAGATGGCCAAGAGGCCGTTTACGAAAAAGGGGTATAGGAGCCAGGAAGTGCAAGGATTGATTTATTCAGATTTATGTGGTCCTATGTCCATCCAAGCTAGAGGAGGTTTCGATTACTTTCTCTCTTTTATTGATGATTGCTCGAGATTTTGTGTACATTTATCTACTGCACCGCAAGTCCGAATGCTTTGATAAATTCAAGGAGTATCGAGCAGTTGTGAAGAAGCTGCATGGTAAAAGTATCAAGTCGCTTCGATCTGATCGAGATAGCGAATACCTCTTTGGAGAGTTCATGACATACTTATTGGAAGCTAGGATTGAATCCCAACTGACTGTACCCGGCACGCCTCAGCAGAACGAGGTTGCAAAACGAAGAAATAGGACTCTTATTGAGATGGTTACTTTGATAATGAGTTATTCCAAATTACCAAAACTTGGTTCCATCGAAGTCAGTAGAAAATACTCCTTACGAATTGTGGAAAGGGAGAAAGCCTGGGTTTTCACATATTCGAGTGTGGGGTAGCCCTGCACACGTCTTAGTGCAGAAGGCTAGCAAATTGGAAAAACGTTCGGAAGCACGGGTGTTTGTTGGCTATCCAGAAGAAACAAAAAGTGGATAATTTTATAGTCCTGAGGATCCGAAGGTGATCGTTAGTACGAACACTAGATTCTCGGAAGAAGACAATATAATGAATCACAATCCCGCGATTAGACTTGTAGCCCCCACTTTGATTTAACGAAATTTTGGACTTTCAGAAAAATCAATTTAATTTTTGACACTCATTTCAAAACATTTATGGTTTTACTCATCTAAAATCAATATCAGAAGACATATCAACCATAAATTTCAACTCCCATATCGGGTTTCAACACACGTCATGAATAACCCAAATTGGGTTTCATAAATTCATCACAGTGTCTAAGGGGCATCTCCCCATCATTATCTCAATCTATCTTAAGATCTCAAATTCATGAAATCTATAAATCATAAATAAGTTTGAATAGCGGAAGCATAAAGCAATAATATATGACCGACCAACTCGCCTCCTTCTCGTCATGCCCGCAACCTGCTTAACCTGCATCCGTAAAGAAGCAGGTGGGGATGAGCACAATTGGAACCCGTGGTTCTCACCACTATGACATAATAAACAATAATAATATAAAGCTGGTAGTGTCACAACGTCAACACGAATCAATAACATATCCCATCTCCTATCAATATAATTACTCATGTGCACATCTCTATAAAGCTATTGAGTGTCTTCGTATCGATCGCTTCTGTACAGGCTCACATCGGCGCCCACTCACTAGTAGTATCTGTCGATCGCCTCCGTACAAGTCTTACAACGACATACATATCGAAAGCCTTTGGCCACCTTCCCAGTCTTACATACGATATGGCCTTCGTACAGGACTTAAGGAGACTGCCGATCATTAGGCACCGTCGAAGGGCGTACAACTCACATCGACGGGGACCACCGTACCAACGGCCGTATTACCTCACATCAATAGGCTACCAGGTTCATATATATATAATAAACATACCAATCCCAACTTACAATAAACAGATATGGCATAATAATTTTAGATAAGACCCACCTGGAAACCGAGGTAGAGAATCACACAAACTAGATACGTAGGTCGAGGGCTCGACTCCTTAAACGCCTACATTTTAGCGAAATAGTATATCAATAATCTATCTCACTACTCGAATTTAATATAAAACCCACACTTAATCAAAATTAAGGCTTAAGAGTTTTTAATTGGATTTTTTGTTGACTTAGAACTCTCTCATTTTTTAAAAATAGAACTCAGAGAATTTAGAGTCTCGGGACTTAAAACAATTTTTCCAAATTTTTCTCATAAATATTTTTAAAATTGAAAATCTGTATTAAAAATGGGCTTTTGGAACTGAAAATGGTCAAAAACGAGAATTGGGCCGCGCTGGAATGGTTCCCCACTCGCAGTGCTTAAATGGTGCGCAAATGGGCCACTGCAAGGTGTATTGGGCCGAGAATTCACGTAAAATTGGGCCAGCTACCAGTAGGGGATGACGCGGGCTTCACAGGGTTCGCGGGCCAGAAATCGGGTCCATCTCGGACTCGCGGGCCGGGGCTGTTGAGGACATTCGAGCTGCGCGCGGGCTGGAGCGAACCAGACAGACCGCGCGTGTTTTTCTTTCTGGTATATAGGGGCATGCGTGATTTGGGCCTAGAATAAGGTTTGGGCTACAAAA